TGCTAGAAAATCTCACAACTCCTTTGTTATTTCTAATCCCTCATTATTAGAATGCACATTTTTCCGACTGCTTGCGTGCGACATCATTTCATCCACCCGTTGCTCTTGATTTTTTTTTTCCAAACACTGACTTCACAGAGAAAAATCACCTCCTCTTGCTCCTTCCCCTTCCAGCCTGTTGTGGCTCGCTAGATATTCGAGATCAGAGGCCGGGAACAGTGAGCTTTGTTTAAGTAGCCTTGAAATTCCTTTTGCTCACTGCTCCTCTGTGATGTGCTTCCTTTTAGTGCTAAATTAAGAACTAGAGAAGGGAGAATGAGTTGCAAAAAAAAAAAAAATCATTCAGTGGAGTTTATTCATCAGAACTGTGTGAATTAGAAAGCGTGTCCCCATGAGTAATGAGACAAATGTGGCCGGATGTTTTGTTTTTCATGCGGTTCGTGGGAAAATATAACAAAAATAAAACAATGAGAGAAGCTCAAAAGCAGTTGAAGGACTTTTGAATTTTAATTGCATTTTTAAAGGTCACATGAACAATTGTTTGTCCTTTATAGGCAAAACATACCTTTGGAAAAATAATCTTGTTATATTGGATTCTTCACTGATTAATGTGTATGTATGGTTTCTGATTGATTGTCTTTATGATGATGTTACAGAGCGTGCAGCTTCTAAAACACTGGAGGAAATTATGGAGCAGGAGGAGACGACTGCATCCGTAAAGTCTACAACTGCTGGTAAAACCCAGGGAGAGGACAGCAGCCTCAACATGTCACCTGATGTTTCACTACATTCCCCGTCTCCAGATATTGAAACACAGAGCACGATGTCAGTGGAGGGCAGTGGGGAAGATCAGTCTTGTGATCTGTCCTCAGATGGCAAGTACGAACTCTAGTCATACTACTCGAGGCTGAGCTTTTTTAATTTTTTTTTAGCACAAGCAATATTTTAAATTCCTTGTTGTTTTTTTTAATCTTTACAGTCAACTGCAGAGTACAGTGAGTGATTCTGCAACTCTGAGTGTGAGAAGAAGTGATGGCACGGACTCACCTGAAGTGGCTGATACGAGTAGGTAGACAGTAATAGAATTGTTCATATCCGTGCTGCAGATGTTCTGCAGATATCTGCTTGAATTTGTCCTTAAAATGCCAAGTTTATGTATTTTTCCTACTCGAGGAAGGTCAACACTCTTGTCTCACATGACGAATGCTCTTTTCTGTACAGATAGTGGTCCGTTTCAAGTTGAAAATGTAAGCCCTTCTCCCATCTGTGAAGAGTCTCCAGCTGACGGTGTTGATGGTGATTGCAGTGCTGCACCCGGCAGCCTCCCTCCGCCTCTAATGCAGGATGCAGACGCACAGGCCTCTGTTCAAGCAAACACTGAAACCCTCTGTGAGGTGACTGACGGGTTAGAGAGTCCAGTGGATACCAGCACATCACGCCCCGCTGAAGAGGATGCTCAAGTGCAAACAGATTTCACACAGCTCCCTGAGCCTCCACAACAACACACGGACAAAGTTCCTTCATCAGCAAGTGCACCGCCCCCTGAATCAGCGGGAAAGAAAGATATGGCCACTTTGACGGAGGAGCTGGAACCCCCCGGCCTCGGACATGCCTTATCCCACACCTCAGAGACCTCATCATGCCAAGACTCCCCGCCAAGTGCCCCCGCCGCAACAAAAGCGGCATCTATGTATGCAACAGACTCTGAGCCAAAGCCCAAGCCTTCCAATGAGCTGACAAGGGACTACATCCCCAAGATGGGGATGACAACATATACGATTGTGCCTCAGAAATCTCTGGAGAAACTGAGATATTTTGAAGTTGCACTGACACTGGAGACGCCTCCAGAGGAGACACTCGATATTGATTCTCTTCAGTTAGATGAAAGCACAGGACAGAGGGGACAGATAGACGTCTCCAAAGAAAAAAGTGAGCAGCATTCTGCTTTACCCAGGGAAGACTTACTGACTAGCACTACTACTACTACTACGCAACACACTGTTAATGGAAGTATATCTGAAACGAATCATTCCTCATCACCAACAAGTTTACGTAACGCAAACGACAAGATCGCATCCTCGGCTGATGGCGCGTCTCAAGCAGGTTCACCAGTCGAGGTCAAGGAGATGAAAATTCCACCCGCAACTAAGCCTAAGCCTGGTTCTTTCCGCTTGGCACAGCACAAAAAAACACCTGGGTATTATGTAACTTCAGCCGCAGAGAAAAGTCTTGGTGCCAATGCTGGCTCTGGCCTGAGGGAGGCTCAAGGAAGTACAGAAAGAGAAAACTTACCATCCCCTCCTCCTCCTCCTCCTCCTCCTGTGCAGTGTCAAGAGGAGGCGACAGGGGCCACTAATGCTCAGCTGAGCCCGAAACAGGATGACAAGAATGTTGAGTTCATGCGAATGACGAGGCAGAGCAGTCTGCCGTCCAGAGAGCCGAGCGCAGGGTTGAGCTTGGAAAAATTAAGGAGCTTTGCGGCTCCCAGACCTTACTCTCCTTCAACCCCGTCCCGCTTCGCCCAGGCAGTGTCCTCTGCTGTGAAAAGGAGCCGGTCCTTACCCCACGGGCCAAAGTCACCTCTCCCGGCCGCGTCGCCGCCCGTCTCTCCAGTTACAAGTCACTCACCAGTCATAGAGTCAGAAGGATTATCTAAACTCAAGGTTAGTCCTGATAGTGTTGCAGACTGACATTAAAATATCTGAGGAGCTTTGTTAAACCTCAACTCGTACACTGATACATGAAAGCATTCCTCACCTTTTTAGTCTTTCCCTTAATAGAGTTATACACACAGCATAGACTTTGTTTTGCAACTGCTGTGGTGCTTTTGGTGTTGAAGCAGCCATTCGATGCACATTTACAGCTCCTACCAGTAGAATGGACTTGAATCAGCCTCAGGTTTAACTGCTGTGTTAAGGTTCCTGCATTTCTTACTGATTGTTGTTTTTTTATTTGTGCTTGATTTATTTTAAATCAAGGATCAAGAATGTTTCAAGACGATTATGCGTCATTTTTATTTAAAAAAGGAAGAGAAGCAGAAAGCAGAGAATGAGAGGAAGCCATTGAGACAAAGAGGACTTGAGGAGCACAATCCAACACCAATAAATAACTGAACAATTCCTGCCATTATTATAACTATCATTTATTATTTCTACAGGGAATCAAGAAGGCTACATGTACCATAACCTTTTACTGCCTGAGCTTTAGTAATGATGAGCAGAACTTGCAGCTGTGACTTAAAACTTTACACTTTGACTCTCGTTAAAATGAACATATAGTAGGATTAGACTTCCCACTGTGACTTTCTGTGTATCTTCTTAAATTCTGGCAACCCCTGACTGGGTCTATTATGTTGGACTTTTGACATTCGTGATGCAAATACTCATAAAGTCATATGTTTCCATAAGCAGAAAAACATCCCTTGTAGTTACAGGCCTTTGTGGCCTTTTTAAAATCAGTGGAATAAAAACTTTCATTAGTCATATCATAAAAAAATGCTAAGATTTGATAACGTTAATGTACAAAGTAGATTGTAAATCACCTGAACAGTGACATTGTGAATCCATGGTTTGTTCATAGTTAATTCACGGTTGGCACATTTCAACTAAAAATAGAAACAAAATTTTTAAAAAAGATTTCAGGACTAACTTGTAAATTCCAGACAAATACAATTAAAACCAAAACACATTCACATCCCATCCTTCGCTCTGTAGTTCCGCTCAGTGAAATACTTGGCACCACATTCTCACGTGCGGCTCCAGCTGGTCCTGGCGTTTCTCACAATGAGTGCAGGTCAGGAAATAGTCCAAATATTCACAGTGCAGTGCTGTTTAATGCTTTATTCCTGCTTCAGAGAGGTATGCGTCTTCACACCAGGGACATCCTGGCCATTGGGACTTTCATGTATTACATTGTGTGGGGATAATCCCTTTTTTTTCTCCCCTCTCTACCAACAACTTGTAGCTCACATCACAAAGCTGCACAAAACTGTGTCTCTTTATATGATCTGGCATGCTACGTCTCCAGTGATTGCATTGTGTGTGTGTTTTTTTTTTCTTTCTAACATCACAGGACTGTGAAGATACAGAGGCGGGTACTGACGGATCCACTCTGCAGAGAGAAGAGGTCCAACTGCCGTCTTTTAGCGAGATCGTTGAAATCGAGGGAGAGAGCAGCCCTTAGCAGTGCCTTATGTCTTCTGACAGTCTATCATCTACAGTAAGCAAAACCCAACACTTGGCAACAGATCATTTGAGCACATCCACGACGCACGCCTGAACTGTTGTGTTTTTATCTTCCAGGAGGAGCTTGTCCTGCATACTTTGAGTTCTGAAGAGCCTTTCATCCACAGAAGAAGAAACTGTCTTTTGTTTTACCTCTTTCAGTAGACTTCATCAAATGATGTATTTTGATAATTCATAATTGTTTTTTGGTATATTTTCTCATGTCTTTAAGTAATACCCCCTGCCTACTTGCATATTTTAATGCTTCTCTTTTTATTTTGTGTGATGTTGCATTTAATGCATTTCTGTTGTGAGTGATCAAGTGACGATAAATGAGAACAATTCTATAAATTATTAGACCGATTTCCAGAGTTGTAATATTATTGGGTTTATTCAGAAAATGTGCTATCTAAATAATACTGGATGTGTAGGGCGGACCAGGTCTGACCTGCCGGTAAATACTTCTTAGATTATACATCAGATCTATATTTAAGTATTGCAGAGTTTTGATTGAGATATATGCAGAAATACACTGATGTGCACAGTTCGCCTGTTGTTCTTGTCCAGCAGTGTTGTTACGAATAAAGCTTTTATCAGGTCGGTGGCCTTCATTGCTTTCATTTGTGCACAAGTGATGCGGAGTGTTTTTTTTTTTTTCTACACAAACTGCTGAAATCGGATCCTGCTGAACACAAGCTGTCACTCACAACAGGTCGGACGGGATCCCAGTTTGGGACTCAGGGCGCGTTACAGTTGCGCACCTGTGCCACGTGTGGACCAGTGAGTTTCCTTCCTCACTGGAGCTGCGATATGAAGACCAGGGTGCAAAACTTGGATTGGAAACTCCACATAAGGAGGAAGCACAAGGTAACAGTTTTAAGTTGAGTCTTGTGCAGCCATAGACTGTGCGGCGTAAACTGGTTGCGCAATAAGGCGTGCGCAATGGATTCACGTTAGATCGCGCATATTCACCGCTAAGTCTATTATATTGACTTTTAAATGAGAATTAGTCGTGTGCTATGAGGAATTTGCAACAAGCGTAAGGTTAAGTCGTGGTTGCGCACAGCTCGTCACACCCACCTGCATGGAGCGGTTGGACAGTTCGAAGACGCAAAGTTGTGTCAGATTTTGCACGTTTCTCACCGACAAATATGCAAAATCTGTCACCAACTAAGATTAACGTTAAGCTATTTGTCTAAATGCAATTCCTAAGGGCATATGTCTTCCTTAGCAAAATATTTCACTAAGTGTGGAATGTGACACCTTTGCTCTGGCTGTTATTTGTGCACCAAACGGCTCGGTGGTGTTGACTGAACTGAGCAACAACAGGAAAAGTGATGTGATGGCCTTTTTTCCCTAAAAGCTGCACGTGACTGTAAGCTGTAATTTCTTAAAATGAAAATATGCAGTGATAGAATCTCCACAAAATAAAAACAAAAACATACCTTTAATGTAAGATTATTGTTTTTTTTAAATGGATCAAATGTGCCAGATAAGTGATGTCAAATGAAGCTACTGTATATCTTGCAGCTCCTTCTTGTATTTGATTTTCAAATGAGAAGATATGTCACAAACTAAAATACACAGCTAGAGGGGGAAAAGAAGAAAAAAGCTTGTTTGGGGCACTTGCTGCTTTTCTGCGACTTTAAATAACAATCCAGACAGCTACAGTTACACTGGGGCTAAATCATGTTGGTAATAATTGCACACAAACATAAGTAACATTTGCATTAACTGGTGCCAACAGAATGTGTTTCATACTGTGGGTTAACACTGTCTCATGCAGGTTGAGATTTCCTGACCCGCCCACTTCTACTCTCCTCTCTGAAATCAGCCTGAAGAAACAAACTACTGGTTTTAACTTTTCACCTCTAGCAGCTCTGGTACAACCTGGTGCAGATTTGTTTGGTAATAAACTGTTGTTGCAACCCTAAAACAAAGATTTTGTTAGATAGTAGATTATAGCAGATTTATTGTTTTCCTAAAATATGTAAATTGATCAGTCTCTCCAGAAGGCACGAGCATATCCTTCCTGATGGTGAAGTATTTGGACAAGTTCTATAAGTCAGTGTAACGTGTTCATTGTTAAATCTGATCAACTACAGCAGTGGTTACCTGGTTAGGGGCACTGGTTTGAACTTCAAGGTAACTGACTTTACATATCCAATATAGACTATGTTGGACTTGGTTAGATTAAAACAAACAAATAAACAAGTGAGATGAGCTCTGACAAAAAATAAAATATTAGAGCCTGACAGATATGTGCAGCGCCCTCCATAATTATTGGCACCCCCGGTTAAGATGTGTTCTTTAGCTTCTAGTAAATTAAGTTTTTTTCTAAATAACATAGGACCACAATTTTAAAAAAGAGGAAAATTCAACCTTTAATTCAAGTGCATTTATTCAGTGTGAACAAAATCCCACATTAAAATTATTTATTTATTTATTTATTTATTTATTTTACATCAAATCATGTGTGCCACAAGGTTACATTTTTCTACAATTTCCAGTGTGACAGTATGCTTCTGCAATAAAAATTTAATTTATTTTAAGGCTTTTAACACATCTTAACCAGGGGTGCCAATAATTATGGAGGGCGCTGTACGTTGGCCGATATTCTCTGCTGATTGACCCATTACAGGTGGTTTTGGCGTATATGCTGTCTGATTTATGTTAATTAGACCACTATCTTTTACAGAATATATTGCCGAAAAAGGTGCTTAGGGTAGTTTAGAAGCTGTGTCATTGCATAGTTTGTCCAGCAGAGCGGCTCCAAGTCCACAGTTTACAATACTGTCTGCAGCACATGTAGCAGAGTACACAACTGAGCAGACGGCGGTGCA